AAAGCGCATTCCTGTTGATTGTTTTCATTCTGGATTCTTGCGGCGACAATAAAACATTTAATCATCGAATGACTATAAACTACAAGGTTTTTTTCCGTTGTAAAATTTTGCATCTATAATCAAATCGAATATAAAAAACAAACTCAATTAAATCGAGAGTAACGGCACAATGCTTACTCATTTGTAATGTAATTTAATAATGTCACACATTTATGGCTACATATATACACCTATTTTGCTAATAGAATAGAAGAAAAATATAAAATGTGGAGAATTTCATAAAATCATGAGAGTAAGATGAAAAGAAAAAGAATGCAAAATTCAGCGACTTTTCAATGACATGTAAATCCAATTCAATAGTGCTCTCAAATATTCGTGACTCTTGTATAAGTACTTTTATCTCGCATTTACATAGAAATGCTCGAGCATAAGTCATCGCAGAAAAAACTGTACCGAATCGAACCAAAAATCACATACAAAATCGCATGGAAATTCTAGTGCGTAAAAATGAACCGTTGTTTGAAAGACGACCTTTTTTCGTCCCATTATTTACCGAAAATTATCTTAAAGGATCGAGTACTATCTGTCAAAATATTTCCCCCTATGCCAAGCGAAATTAATTCGATATACGGCGCTGATATAAATGTCACTCTGTCATTTCACAATAATACTTTTTTGGCTTGACAATATATAAGCTCTTCATTTAAAATGCATACACATTCAAAGTGAATCGTTGAAAAAAATATGTCATAAAATATTTTTCTAACATTTTTCATTAAAAAATTTATTAAAAATTTTTTTTTATAAAAAAATTAATTTGTTTATAAATTACAATAATTTCAACAAAAAATGTTTTATCGATTAAATAAGAATCCACTGTAAATAGTAATGACTAATGACAATGCGACACCTACCGTAAAAATGCAAAAAGAAACTTAGTGGTCTCCATTGTAGCATTTTGGTCCGCCATGACAGCATCTTCGTTTTACTTGACCAATCACAGAGAAGCAAAACGAAGATGCTGTTATGGCGGACCAAAATGTTACAATTCCAAATAAGTTTCCTTTTCTATTTTAACGGTGGGTGTCGCATTGGTATTACTTTTTACATTAGATTCTTGTTCAATTAGTTATGAAATTATTGTTATTTTTAAACAAATAAATTTAAAATATAGAGAATTTTTATGATAAACGTAAGAAGAATATTTTATGATATGTTTCTTTTTTTTACTCGACCGTTCAAAAATTATGCATGTTGAATGAAGAGCTTATATATTGTCAAGCCAAAAAATGTATCATTGTGGAATGACATAGAGTGACATTTACATCAGCGCCGTATATCGGATTAATTTCGCTTAGCAAAGGGGGAAACGTCGTACTCGCTCCTTTGAGAAAATAGCATTTATTTAACCATACATTTTCCGACAACGTTTTATTTGAAAAGAGATATCAAAGAAAATTAGATGTCATGAACATTTTTTGGTACGAATTTTTGGACAAGCGAAAATGATTCACCATTCAGAAGCAGTAGCCGAATTATTTTCAGCTTTTGGCATGCGTTCCGACAAAGTGAAACGAAGAGAAAATTAAAACTTTTCAAATATTCTTTTTGCCCTTAGAGTATATGACGAATTATAAATAAAAACTTTCAGTTTTATGTTTACACTATTGTAACGAAATATAGTGAAAAAGATACGATTTCACAAAGAATTGTAATTGGTTCATGTATTTGAATGTGCGAAATGGCAATAACCGGTGACCAGAATACTCGCACTGTTTTCATGTATTTTCCATGTGTTGGTAAGAGTAACGAAAACAATTGGTGCTTATTTGCAATGTCGTCGAATTGGACCATCTTTTCGAATGGAGAAAACTGTATTCGCAATCATCTAAATTTAATTGATTGTGTACATAACACCGAAAAGAGTGAGAAAAAAACAATCGTTCGCATGTGAATAAATGGATTTGCATGAGAAACCATGTCATTCGCATGTTTTTTTCCAGCAGAAGTTTAACTCGGTTTGTGATTTATATACGTGTGGCTTACATAATATTTTTTTTTCTCAATATAGAATCTTAACTACGAAAATATGGATAGAGTGATGTTTACATAAAATCAATACTCTTCGCTCTTTGATATTGTCTAAATTATATTTGATGTATGTATGGGTTACTGTGATTTCTAGCCTTTTTGTTCACGCAAAAAAAATTAATAAGTACATAATAAGAATAGAGAATAAACTCAAAAACATGCATACGCATATATAGGACCAAACCATTTTCTCCGCAATATCGTTCTATTCTTTATGCAAAGCCAGAAAATCAATTTCTCATTGGTGAAGTGAAGATTTCGCTGCTTGAGCGAGTGAAGTGGTTCTTTTTTCGGTTATTGTTTTTTTTTTATTATTGAAACTTTGTTCAACTTTAGTCATGTCAGCACTTCACAGTTTTCGATTAGTTAATTTCACTTTAACATGCTCAGGATAAAAAAAAAACGTATTCGTGCACCATTGTGCCAAACAATATTAAACGGTAACGAGTGTTTTGCGATTCGATTTTAAAATCGACAAATGGTTTAAGGTGTGTCTTTGTCAACAAGCACCGGATCGTGTTTCTTAATTTAACACAAAAGATCTGCGAGAATTAAATATTGAACGTCTTTGGTCTGAGTATGTCATACATTTGTTTCTTCACATATATAGTTTTTTCGTACGAAAACGATGAATAAAAATAAATGAAGAATGTTTCGGCGTAATGAGTTCAAATAACCATGCGATACAACGCGAATGGCGCACATATTGGTATGCGTATCTAAGAGACTTTGTGTTGCCCTTCATTCGAACCATAATTCATATGTCTTTTATGTTTTTGGTGCATTTCGAATGGAAATGCCAAAGAATATCCGATTTGATGGCGACAACGTCAATTTTTGACTGCCCGAAAAAGGAAAAGCTGCGTCATGTATTACAATATATATTATCGAGTTTCCTTTTGCTGTCTTTTACATATAACTAACAAGATTTATGTGTGTATATGTATGTTGAGCAAACCGCTTGTGTTGAATAACCGATGATAGCAAAATGTGATAATTGAAAAACTTCTATTCGTCCTTGAATGGACCCGAACTCTACTTTGGACCAAATGTTTCATGCATCAATTTTTCTCTTTTTTTTGTTGACTTACGAAAAAAATCCTTTCGAAAATCGAGCAGCGCTGCAACACACATGCATATACGCGCTTATCTGACCCTTTCGTTCGATGAAAATTGCACACATAGTAACCAAAGTGAATTGACGTCGCAAAAATTGATGCTAATAAAATGAAGCAGAGTGAACAAATCGTATTGGACAGCACCATTTGTGGTACCTTCTTCTAATAAAAAGGAAGAAAAATCGATGGCAAAAGTGACGGCCAATCAAATTAAAAAAAAAACTTAATTGATTGGTGTGTTGTCAAGTATGCATTTGAATGTAAATTTACAAATTGACGCGAAACCATTTTATATTGTTGTGCTTCATGTTTGTTTACAGGCTTAAAATGGCAATTTTCACGAATCGACCAAAGTATAAGATAGAAGGAAAAACAGACATGCTGTCTGACTTTAAAATAAATGTTCGGGAGGGATGGTGGTATAACAGCAATTGGATCCAGCACGAGTGACAGTGGCACAACCTCTCTTTTTGTTGTAAGGGTAAATTTTCAATTTTCCAACAGAGGCCTATCGTACCCACAAAGTTGTGTACACGCGCGCACATTTACACACACACATGCACCCATACACCTGCAAGAAAATCACATGCATATACACAGATTTATGACGTAATAAGAAATTCTTTTCTCTTTTATCGCATCCGTAATGACAACGACGTAGATGATGATGATGACGATTCACACTTACACCACACACTCCACACTGTATCAAATCATTTGCTTCAGCATTTCAAAACCAATTAGATTAGAATGAAAAAGAAAAACATGGTTCAGATGTGTGAAGACAGTCAACTGAAGACAGAACAATCATCACCAGTCAATCACCATTTTCTAATGTTGTTGCTTTTTTTCACTGACAGTTTTTTTCTATTTCTCTTTCATTCTCTCTCTGTCTTGGTGTCTGTCTCTTGGTTATTTATGGCAAAACCAGACAATTGAATTGGTCTGTTTGTTGATAGATAAGTGCACCAAGAATGATAGGTTGCATGGTTGTAGGAAAAAATAGAATTATAGAGGAAAAAGGCAGTCATAGAACGAGAGAGTGAACGATCATTGAAACTGAGACACACGAGTTTTTCACCGTTTATTTTTTCTTCTCTTCTATCTTTACTTCTTCGCTGCGCTCGCTGTTTCTCATTTCATTCGGTTAAAAAAGTGATTTTTTTTTTTTAAATAAATGCAATACCGTTAATAAGCACATACGCTGAAACTACGCTGCCCAACTGACTTTCGTTGTGTGGTTGATAGTGCATTTTGAGTTGAAAAAAAAAAAAAACGTTTTTGTTGAATGACAAAGTACACTTTGGCAAGCCTATAGTGGGTTCTAATCTCATCACCACTTTTATTTTTTATTCAAAATTCCATTTTGTTCGTGTGCTTCGTTTTCGTTCTTCTGATTATTTGTAAATTCATGCACGCGGATCGAACACAGAATTGAACAACTACTGAATGTAAATTTCTCTCTTATATTTTCTTTTATGTTTGCATTCATATTATCGATGTGGTCGAATGATATATATTTTTTTATCAAATGATAAGCAAAATTATTCTATAGAAACGATGAGAGTGTGAGTCGAAAACTAACGACAAATAAAATGAATTAAATAAATAATAATATATCGGCAAGTAATTTCCATGCAACAACTGTTATTGAACAGTTTCAAAATTTTTCACACGAAATTTTTTTCTTTCCTCTTCTCTCATTTCATTTTATTATCATGCGATTCTGAAAATTTGTAATATTTGAATTTGCACTTGATTCTGATTGCAAAAAGAAATGATTGTAATTACTTTTCGATAAATGAAGATGTTGAATATGTAAACTTTAACGATTCGTTTTTAATTGATACGATTTGTATTTTGTTGTTGATTAAATTTTGAAAGGTTGGTGGATGTTGTTTTATTTTTCTATTTATTTTAAAGAGATTTTTTTTTTTTTGATAATTCGTTAGAATTTCACGCACAAGAGAAAACAATTTGAACTGAACTCGTTGCTGGCTCGATGAAAACTGACTGCTCTCTCCTGCACGATAGACGCACGGAAAAGACGGAGAATTGGTGAACAGGCGCGAGAGAGAAAGAGAGAGAGAGAAAAGATGAAGAGAAGAGAAAAAAATAATTTCTTTTTCATTTCGTCGCTTCGTTGCGCTTATATGTCCAAGTTTCGGTGTGTGTACATGCATTATACGCTCTTGCTCTGTCTCTCTGTATGTGCTATGGCATATCAAGTTATCGATCGCTTTGCGCTCCAATGTATGTATTACATTCGTGCACCACTGTGTCTTTATCTCCTCTATATTTGCGTTTTTTTATATTCACGTCTGCGTTTACAATCTCTCTATTCGTGCACAATTCATTCGTCTATCGTCCAATAGATGGCGTAGATCACATTATTTCGTTCTCCGTTTAAAATGATAGCACATTGTCAATTTCATACATATATGTGTGTCGTTGTTACGACACACAGAACATTTTCGAGAAACGTCAAACGCTTTTAGCGATTCGTCAATGTGATTGTGTGAGTGTATCGTTCTATCCACATGTGTAAATCTTGTTTCTGTCATTTTTTCCAATAGTATCGAGAAGTTTCTGTTGTGACAACAAAGTACAAGTATTCAAATCGCAAACAAACACCAAACATACACACGGCCTTTGTCTCGTGAGTGCAGGAAAAAACACCCGGAAGATTTTCTGAAAAGTAAATTAGTTTGATATAAAAAAATATGTCGGAATCCGAAGAGCAATTTGATTCATTTTTATTGGCGTTGGCTGAAAAACACACTGGTGGTGTACCAGAGGTAATTTCATAAATCACTTTCGATTTTTTTAAATATAAAAATGAATTTTCTAAATTCATTTTTCAGATGCTTGCAACAGTCGCTGGATTCTTGGCTCGTAAAACAGACTTCTTTGTCGGTGGAAATGATGGTCAATGGCAAACGGTGAGTTTTTTTTATCCAATTGAATTTTTTTTCCACCGACATTCATAATTGAGGTTATGCGATTCGAAATGAAATCCTTTTTTGTTCAGATTGTTTAAAATGTATTTTCCATAAGAAAGCAATATTGATTTAATTGTGGTAATGTATAATTTTGTTGTGTGGTGTACAGTTGTTGCTAGGTATTTTCGAAGAGAAAGCTGGAAAAGCTCAAGAAGAGCACCGAAAAAAGCAAGCGGCTAAAGAAGAAGAAGAAAAGAAACGATTGGAAGCAAAACGACGCAAAGAAGAACTATTGAAAAAAGAAACATCAGCCATTTATGAGGTTACCGACGAAGAAGCGGCACGTCTACAAAAGGAAATCGATGACACAAAGTAGGATTATTAATTTTTTTTTTTTAATGTTTTTCTGCAACCCACAAATATTTGTGCATCCCATTTTTCGCACACTTGGTGCTGTAAAGGTAGATTTTTTTTTAATGTGGCACCTTTTATTGGATGACATCAATTGGTGCATAAATAATTATGGATATAATCAATCGCTATTCTCTAATCTTGTCTCTAGTAGAGATTATCTAATTCATAAATATTTCTAACCTAATTTTTGTGTGAAAATAATTGATTAAAAATAGGAATAAAGATGTGGCCGCTTCATTACCAGACACAGAGTTATCAAAGCCATTGGGAGATGATGCCGATAAAGAAGGAGATGATAAAGAGAAAAATCGCTTAAAACCAAATGATGGAAATGGCTGTAATTTAGAGCATTATAAATGGACGCAAACATTGGGCGAGGTTGAGGTAATTACATACTCATTCAATTAAAAGAACTTCCATAATTTAAAAAAAAGTGTGACGAAACTACAGCAAATATATTTGATTTATTACACAGTTGAAAGTGCCGCTGAACATAACGGTTCGTCCACGTGATGTGACGGTTAAAATAAGTAAAAAAGGTTTGTACGTTTGTGTGAAAGGTCATCAACCGATTATCGATGGTGAATTGCATGCCGAGGTGAAAACCGAAGAATCAATGTGGTTACTACAAGATGGCAAAACGATTGTTGTTAATTTGGAGAAATTGAAAGACATGAGCTGGTGGAGTCGTCTAATAACTACCGATCCGGAAATTTCAACGCGTAAAATCAATCCGGAACCATCAAAACTGTCCGATTTGGAGGGTGAAACACGTGGCCTAGTCGAAAAAATGATGTACGATCAACGACAAAAGGAGCTCGGTCTACCAACCAGCGAAGAGCAAAAGAAACAAGATGTCTTGAAAAAATTCATGGAACAACATCCGGAAATGGACTTTTCCAAATGCAAATTCAATTAATTCACAAACACACACACCCACATATGCACGCACATCAAGTTTTCCATTCAATATTTAGCCATTTTTTTGACAGACTGAATGAAGTAGAATACTGTATTTACACACATTTTCTGTGAAATAGAATGCATCTCAGCACTCACTCAGAGCTGACGGAAAAAAACAATACTTGAAACCGAACGTCAATAAAGTCGTAGTTCATTTGTTACTCTGCATTTATAACATAAAACTACTTTTTTTTATTTTCAACATATGTTCAAATGAAATTCTTAGGTATCATTGTTTTAAGAACAACGTTAATTACTCTTTAGGTTGATCAAAAATGGTAAACAAATTTGAAAGATTTTAATTCAGCACCTGAAATGAGTCGAATTGAACACCTACGCATCATCAATTTTCTATGATTCACTTCATTCATTTGAAAAAAATAATTGAATATTTTCACTAAAACCAATCAAATCCATAAATGCTCAATGGCCGATTTTGGAAGAAAGGCAACGATTTTTGACTGGCGCACACAATATGTATTCACGCTATTGTTTATGGTGTTTGTTGCTAACCAACAACCCATTTGCGTTGCAGTACATACAAAACCCGTGTGTGGCTGTGCCGTGCACATTTGGCTTTTCGATTTGATTTGAATACAATGAATCCAAACAATAATATTCGCATTTTCTCTTTGGCAAATAAACTGTCACGAAACCATGTTCATAAACTTTATTATTATGGAAATCATGCAGAAAGAAAAAAATTATCTATACAACATTTAGATTAACTATTTGTCACTCATTTAAAGCGGTTTACTTTGATTTTTTGAAAAGAGAAATCGTGATTTTTGGAGTGATTATCCACCGATATTTAGCCGATGAGTTAATTTTTTTTTTCAATTTTACAATAATTTAACGAATGGTAAGTATTTTTTTTGAAAAAGAATTTGTTTCCCATGTGATGAAGAATGAGGGAATGTCATGAGAAACACTTGTTTTTACCAAAGTTAGATGTAATCACCCAGAAACACCTTTTAAACAGCAAAATAAAGCAAAAACGTGTGCGTGAAACAATTTGAGCAGTTAAAGTCATACATTGCATGGATAATAAACGATTTGATGGGCACCGACATGCAAAAAGTCAATAAAAAAGAGCACCCTCATCGAGTCAATTTCGAATCTGAATATGATAGTAAACCGATTTTGAATAACATTACAGTTAGCATAGTTGTGCACGAAATTAAGCGTTGCTGGTGTAAAATTGAGGCCAAAAATTACTTACCAAATGCATAAAATTTCAGAAAAAATACATACTCACTCTATGAAGCTGCAAGAACAAGACCGAATTTCAAATTGATAAGTGAGAAGAAAAATAGTGTTGCATTTGGTGTTAGATGAATATTTTTTTTTATTTTCTTCTTCTTTTTTAAACAAAACTAGATGAATTACAGTTATAAGTCATTAAGAATGTCTTCATTTATATCATCGAATTTTGGAATTGTAAATTTTGAACACTGAAAACAAAAACAAACAAATAAAAAATAAAATTGCCTAATCGAATCCAAATTTTGTATCAAAAAACAACGAGCTAAACAATTTAAGAATAATACAGAAAGAGAAACAAGCAAAAAATAAACGTTCAATTGATTAACAAAATGTATAACCGATATTTTGGAGTATATCACAATGTTTTTGTTTGAGCTCATTCAATATCGTTTGTTATTCGATTGAATTCTGATTTAACTATTAATGAAATGAAAACATCGAATGTGCGAGGGAACAAAGAAAAAAAAATTACGACGAAATTGTTTAAATTATAATGTTCCTGATTGTTTTGCAATTTAAAATATAAAAATAAAATGCGTGGGTCGTATTTGGTTCTGGAACGGAATAAAAATTTTTTTTTGATCCAAAGTCTATAGAGATTAGTTAATTAAAATGGTGAAATTAAAATAAATATAACCGATGAGCAAATTGACGTTCACGCGTGCTTGTGTGTGCATGTGTGTTTTATGGTAAGACTATATCATCGATTTGTGTTTGTGTGTGTGTGTGTTTAAAAGCGTGAGCGCCTGATCGTGATCGGGTTAGTATTGAAAAACAAAAGCTGAATATTCAAGGTTGATTTCGTTTATAAGTTCCTGTCTCGACCTCCACACACATGACTGCAAATCTATTCTCGGGTAACAAAGCGACGATGATCAGCATAATCTCGTACATCGGATGCATTTCGTTCTGGTTTAATGCGCACATCATTTGGGTCCAATTGAAATTGGCCATTCCAAGTGGTTGGTAAAACGGTTGGCGTTTTATCATAACCATAATAATCATTGGTTTTTGATTGATTACGCTCGGGTACAAGGTAGGTTTCACCACTTTTTTGAAATTTCCCATCCCATTGTACGGGCAACACCGTTGGCGACGTATCAAATCCGTACAAATTGCCCGTATTCGAACGATTTTGATCTGGTTTTGGTCGATAATTACGATATCCATCCGGATACTTGCCATCCCATTGTGCAGGCAATACGGTTGGTTCAGCACAATGACCGTACAGATTATTTGTATTCGATTGATTTAATTGCGGATTTGGACGATAGTTACGATATCCTTCAGGGTATTTGCCATCCCAAGTAGCCGGAAGTACTTCGGTTTCCGTGTTGTAGCCATGCATTTGACCACCATCCGATGTGGCCTGTTTGGATTGATTATATTCGCGTTCGTTGACATATTGTTGTTGATTTGAATTTGGTGGATTGTATCGTTGTTGTTGTTGCTGTTGCTGTTGCTGCTGATATTGTTGCTCTTGCTGCTGTTGTTGTTGTTGCTCCTCATATTGTTGCTGATGTTGTTGATACGAATTTGTTTGACTTTGTACATTATCATTGCCACGTTGCACATACTCATTTTGATTTTGATCATACCGTTCATCATGCTGTTGTTGATGTTGAGCATAGCATTCGTCGTGATGTTGATCTTCACGCGATTCAACTCGAATATAATGCTCTTTTGATTGTGCCGAAGTGTTCGATGATGTTGACGTTGTTGTGGTGGTTGTCGTCGTCGTCGTCTCTTCCGACTGACTCTTTGCCTTACTGATGACTTCTTTTTTACCTTCTTGCCATTGTTGTTTCTCCAGTGTTCCGCGTGTTGGTTTTACCAATTCATAGCCTTGCTTCAATTTTGGCTTTTCATAGACGAATCTTCCATCCCAGCCTCCAATTTTAATTGGAATATCATCTTGCTTGCGTCGTGATAGCATGTCGTTATTTTTTTTAAATTAAAATTTCAATTTTTTTCTTTTTAAATTCACTTGCTAATGTTCGTAAAATGTCTCATTAATTTTTTTCAAAAATAAAAGTTCTTTGAAATATGACTGTTTACAGACAGATTGTTTATTTATTTTATTGCGCACTGTTAACACTAGCAAACAATTTGCAACCCGATCGCTAAAAATCAACTAACGAAATGTAGCTGAGTAAAGCTTTTCTAAGATATTTTAGCTCTAAATCAATTACGGAGACAAAACAACAGCAACAACAATATACCGCACACGGATATAAATGTTCGTGTAAAATGTATGTTTGTGAAAGCCTTTGTAAATTCGTGTTGCAGTGTGTTTGTGATTTTTTCTTTCTTTTCGGTTAATATAATTTGAATGGAGCGCGAATATATCGAATGCACGAAAAATAAGAATTGTAATGCTGGAGAGTAGGAGTTGATCACAGACACCTACGATCTCATCAATAAAAACTGAGAAGAAGAAAAAAAAAACACAAGTTTAATGAAAATCCAACGTAAGTGACAAAACAAATGATGACGACAACGACGATTTCGATGCCAATAACAGCAACCGAAACAAGGAAAAATAATAATAAAAACAAAATTCTACAAAATCAAAAAGCCCGCGAACAATCTGGATACTGAAACAAAACGGAACACTTTTATTGTTTGTGACTTTGTAACCATAAAAAGTCAATTCGTTAAATGTTGATGATTCTATCGCTTCTCTGTGATCTCACACAACAACAACAAACGATGGAACACCTCGATCGATCGATGTATTGAATTTTTTTTCTGTATTTGCCACACCGTATGCGCTGCATGCAAAACGTTCTACCTGCAATTGTACTGGAAAACTGAAAATGATGCAAAATACGGCGGCGCATTTATAATCATCAATTTTTCTGGTTTCATGTTGCACATAATGGATGTATGTGTGGTTGTGTGTCGACGATTTGGGTTCAATGTGGACAATTTTAAAATGCATTAAATCTGAATTTTAAGTTCAGATGCCATTCGGGGATGGCATTCATAGAGAACACACAAGGTTCAATGAGTGTGTTGTTCTTGTGTAATTTATTTGCGCTGTTGTTATTCCCTTTGTGACACGAAAGTCACATCAACATCACATGTCCTCTGCGATTCGGATACTGTCTCAATGTCTTTTACTCATTTTGGCATGAAGGGCCACATTGTAATTTATTATCGGCTTTCGAATCGAAAATAAATTTACATTTGATGCCCAAAAAAAGACAGAACCATATCGATTTTTGGCACGTTTTTATTTTTGCAATACAACGATGGAAAAATATTTCGGAAAATTCGACCAAAACCAATCAATGTATCTTGCCATGAATCATTTTGTTTATTCGTGCATTTTATTACTTTTCAACGAGAAAAAAACGTTGTGCACGGTGAATGTAACAGCGCGATGTCGAAATGATGTCATCCACGACAAATATGGTAATGTCTGCAGATCTTGACTTTTCTCTTTTTTGTATTGCATTGCGCGCGCACACACTGATTTTTGTTGTTGTTTTTTTTGTTATTATATATATACATAAATTGCAATATTTTTGTTCGTAATGCGAATTAGCTGGGACGCGCTACTGCTTTACATTCTTGTTCGATTTTATATTGCGCTTTTTTTAAATTCAAGTTGATATGTGCGCGTTAAAAAAATGGAATGAGAAAAAAAAGCAACAAACAGAATGCATCGTATAGCACAAAAAGGGAAATCAAGTCGAACAGGGGCAGATATAGAGATATACTCAAAACCACATATATAAATCTCAGTCTATTCATTAAAACATTTAGATTGCGAAAAAAAGCGTTTTACTATTAAATTACTCGATTATACGGAGAGATAATTTTAGAAAATTGTCTCAATGAAATAATTCAATTAAAATGCATGCATTCAAGTCGTTTTGCCTTTGTGCCACTTAATTATCAGCACTTTGTTCGGCGCATTTAATGATGATAAAAGTACGAAATTTCTCGTTGGCCATTGAGCATTTATACATCTCCATTGGTGTCCATTTTGTGATCATCGGTTATTTCCAGTGCAATGTGCATACACTTGTCCCTCCCTCTCTCTTTTTCTCTCTATCTCACACACGTACATCGTTGTAGCCTTCGAATTTTTCGTCGAATTCATTGAACGAGTTGATTTTGTGGTTTTCAACAATTTTGGAAATTCTACATTTCATTCTGACTGACCTACAGCGCTCACTCGCGCTGCAACACGAGCATATCGTTTCGATGAAAAACAAAATGCATCATTGAATTTGTTGATTTGTGAAAAAAAAAAAGATTCGGCTTTTTGTTCCTGTGTTTTTCTCTCCTTCTCTCAATTGGAATTTTAAACGAAACAAAAAAGACCTCCATCAATTCAGACTTCAACACTTGCACTCATTTCGAAGAATCTCGATGTTCAATGGAACAACAGACATTAAATAGTTAAATTTCAATTCAAATTTACATTCAAAATTCACAGAAATCATTCCGAGATTGATTTGTTACTTAAGGCGTGTGCGCAAGCACAAACAATTTTATCGTTGACTTTGTTTGGGCATTCAAATTCAACGCTAACATTCATGATCTGAATTTTAGTTCCGAAAAATTTTCGATTTATGGCTAAAAATACGCGCATATTGCCATCGAATTACTCACCGTCATCGGGCATTCGAAATGTTGAAAACAACCATTTGATGCGGGACAAAACGAAACCAAGCATTGAATTCTTGTTTTGGTCACACATAAATAACATCTTTTTCGTGCCTTTAATTCGTGTTACAAATTATACGATCACATCACGCTTTGAACTGACGAATCGATCAATCGAAAAATTATAAACTCTGTTCCAACCGACATCGATCCATTTTTGAGACCCATGCACGTCTGCAACATACTGTGTCTTTTTTCTTGATCAAAACAATTGGAATTATCTGCGGACCTACATGACGTCAGAAAAGTAAACATTTGACAGAATTTTATTCCATTGGAATCAAATTAAAATGTGTGTTTGCGAGGCCTCTTTTTCACTTTTGTTGCACATGTAAGTTCCTAATTATTCTGGTGAGAAATTCATAACGGCCGATTAATATTATATTATGCATCTCGAGGGTTCATCGACGTACATAAAATCTGAAGAAATAAACCATTAAACTTCTGTCGAATGCATTAAGCAACAAGTCAAATAAATTTTTAAGTGCCTTCTTCATTGCCCCGAACCAAGCAGAAAGGCACAATTAATGGGTGGATGATGATGGATGAGGACAGAGAAAATTTCGATTCACTTGAAGTTTTTATTGCGCTCTTAAAACTGTGTGCGTGTTAAATCAAATTGGTTTAATGCCAAATATGTATATTTACTTTAATATTCTGTTTGCTTGAGTTGTTGTTCTTCTTCACCATCGTGAGAGATTTTTTGGTTTTTCATTCACAACGAAACATATCTGGGAGATCGACGTTCACCAAAAAAGTGGTCTCCTAAAATCGCGGTAAGATTTGATGTCTGACAAAAATTGCGAAAAGAATTGAAACCATCGCAAATGAATGTGAATGAATAAATTAAATAAAATCAACGGTCGCATTCTCAACTGTATGTGTGCGATGTATATGAGAGGAAAAAAATCATATCGCTCTCTCCCTGAATCGTCGTCGGCGGTGAGTGAAAGATGGCTAAAAAAAGAAACGAAGAAAAATAACTTGTCAAACCATATGTGGACAGAGCCATCGACCAAATATAGACATTTTTTAGCAACAAATTTAATTAAACCGATACGCTTCGAACTGATGTGTGCTTTTTTAATTTCTGAGCTGAGAAAAAAAAACAAATAAAAATAACGAAAGACTTTCTTAACGGGAAACGAAAAAAAATCGATTATCTCCATCCCGCCATATTCCTTCTTTTAAAACATTGTAATTTTTTGTAATTTTTTCTCTTAAAATGTCCATCAATAGCCAGTTGACCAGCACTTTAATTGAATTAAGCAAGCACGCATGTTCGCGTCATATCGAATGAAATGTAAAATTGAATGTTCGAGAATGAATGTGAGTCTTCTCCTGAGAGTTTATTGAAATGTAACACCGCCATACATGCTGACTGTCAGCAATTTTTGTATGGCGGTGTTACATTTCAATAAACTCTCAGGAGAAGACTCACATTCATTCTCGGACAATCAATTTATGATCGTTATTTTGCAATTAAAATGAACTTTCAATAATGAGTTGTTGTTGTTCTTAACGATAGAAAATGTTGCGCCAAGGTTTTTTTCACTCGCAAATTGATGGAGGGAACGATAGAGGAGAGACGAAAGAGAGAAGAGAGAGAGAAAAGGCTATCGATGAAATTATTATGAAGTCTCGCGCGTTAAAACGCCTCCACAATCGCATTGATCGACAAAATGAATCATCCAAAACATAAATGCAAAGTCTGCTTTTTTCCACTCAACAAAATGCATTATACCGACGTGAATAGGTCGCTGATTGAAGACGAAAGCAGATATTAACAGTTGTGAAGTGACTTAGTTGCGGAGTGAGTATAGAAAAGAATGTGAAGCATTGTCATCAAAGAAGGAAATTGAAATTATGAAGCCAAAAAAGTATTTAGAGTTATGAATCAATCGTAATAGTCATCGGGTTTCAAAATGAGTGGGCCTGTTGTGTCGATTCACGCATTTTAATTGAACTCGATCTAAATACGGTGGCGAGAGATGCCGCGACTGAAACACTCAAACTCCTTGCACAATTCCAAGTTTGTTCATTTGAACAGAAAGAAAACATTTTGCATCAGCTCCGCACCACCTCTCTTTAATGAATAACACATATTATTGCATATAAAATGGAACAGACAGATTATTTATTTATTTCTAGCTTCGGGTATATTTTATCGATTGAAGTGTGCCATTTTCTGCGTGGTAAGCGCACATTTCGCACCATTATTCAAAAAGTCATATAAAAATTCTTTCGAGTAAGTAGAAAAGCAGAAACCTCCTTACTTCAATGGAGTAACTTTTCAAAAATATCCACTACGGAAAAATTTTATAGTGCTTGCTGGCAAACTTACTCGCTTCCACCACCAGGTTCTATCTGCGAGAAATCAACGCACATTTAATATTACTGGTAGTTTATGACAACTTAAGAGCAAAATCAAACCTTATCGAATCGTGAGATTCGAAACAAAATATACCGCAAAGAGCCGTATTACGTGCTCGCGACCAATAAAATGCGGATCAAATTATTATGTAAAAGTGTCTTTGAAAGCAGTTACTAAAATTTCGCTTATCTACTCGCATTTTGAAATTGCGTTCGAGCTTGTATACGGAATAAATGTAAAACATATTCCAATTTTGGTATTGTCACGTAAACCGAATTTTAAAAATAGCAGAAAAATCACATTTGTTCCAGATTCACAGTCACTGCAACTCACATGAATTTGAAGCGAGCGAGCGAGCGAGAGAGAGAGAGAGAGAGAGAGAGAGAGAGAGAGAGAGGGAACCGTCATCCAAACTAAATGCTTGAGTGTATTCGTGACATGTATTTAATGAGTCCAACAAATTGTTCGGTTCGTGGAATATAAAAGTAAAGTCGATCGTTCGCATATGTTTTTCGAATGGTTTAAAAATTGACTTGACATTCGTTGAACATTGGTTAATTTTGCACATAATGCACAATCAGATGTAAATAGTTACCATATGACCAGAGCACTGCCATAGCATTTTCATAGCTTGCATTAGACAGGGTTAAAATATCACATGATTTGCAGAGTTTTCTACCTTGTTATTTGCTTTCTCTCTTTCATTCGCCGCACACTTATGCACATACACATACTCATCAGCATTTCCTATATTCAGTCACTCACTCACACCAATCGTGCGCTTTTCAATTATCAGATTAGCTGGTTTCACCTTTCTCATTTGCAACGATCACATCTTTTCTCATTTCAACATTCGGTCATCTTTTTTAATCCAATGTATGTGTGCTTTATTTAGTCGCTCCAAAACTTGGCTCTCATTCCAAAATCTATGGTGCACACATCGTTTTAATCAATTTGTCTATAAAAAATTTTAAGTGGACAATATGACCATTGCATTTGCACGCATCAATTGCTTTGCGTACCGATAGAAATATATTTGTACATATAAGTCAAACAATATTGAACACTCATTACGGCACATGTCACACGCACATGTATACATAAGAATTTTTGCTGCTGGGAACACCGTGGTGTGTAACAACAATTCGATTGACTTGTTTGATCAACATTCGATGCGGCCGAATCGTGTGTGTGTGTGTGTGTGTGTGCGAGTGTCCGTGTGATAGAGTTGCGGTGAACACGTACGCGCTTTGCATTTGCCATCATTCAAACATACAATCAAAATCGACTGACAACGATGACGGTGTATTACGTATCGGTGGTGTCGGTTTCGAGGCCTATATGTGTGTATATGTACATTTTTTTTTTGTTTTAACTGTAATCAAAATGAATATCAGATATCATGTTAGTGTGACTTCGATAGCGAATATGACAAAAAAAATCCAACAAATGTTCGGCCTACGATCCATTTTCCGTGTTTGTGTTTATTTCATGTCATGTTAAAAATTTATGGCAGTTTTCAATGTTACTTTTTCTCTCTTTGCATCACAATTCAGAAGAAAGACCGAATCAAATCACCATAAACGAATAAAGGTTCTTTTTATTTAAAAAAAAAACACCACACTAAGCGGCTCGACCGCGATGACGACGAAAGCAGCAGCGGCACCACCAAGCGAAACGAACAATAATAAATCGTGTTCTTCATTTCGATGTTTAATTTCAGCGACGAGTTATTGTTGTTGTTGGTGGCACACCAAAGACTTAATTTTTTTTGAGCATGTGTGCAACACCGTGAATGTAGGTGGCTAATATGCTCCCACCTGCTATTTCTATCTCATTATTTAAACAAAACCGACCACAGCACCGTAAACTAGACGGAACGAGAGAACCAACTATAAAACATGCACACACACACACGGGCGCTCAGTAAAATCGTTTGTAGCAATCGAAATGTACTTTATTGTTTCTGCTTCGATTCGCTATTCCCCACCATATAGATACATACAGCTTCAAATCAAATTAAATACGAATAACGCGCGTGTGAAAGAGTGAACAAGATGTAATGAAACACTGTGTCGAATATGAAGAATAATAATAAAAAAAAGACCATACCAAATAATAACAACATGCTTTGAACCGAACGACACATCCAAAAACAACCGAAAATAACAATATCCAAACGACTGAATGAAACGAGAGAAGCGAAAAAGCACATTCGAACAACAAAAATTCACACAACATCATTCGCGCAAACACGTAATTATGCTTTTCAGCGTTTCAGACCGTCGAGTTTAGTTTGTGTCGTGAAGCCGCCCGGAATGGTCGTTCACATTCATTTATAGGCATTCTTAAGTTATTTTCATTCGTCGATCGAAAACCGATATACAAATAAATCAATTTCTTTTATTTTTGTTTAGTTGTTTTTGTTTTATGATTTCGCTGACATTTTCGTTTTGTTAATTTAAATTTTGAAAATTCGTGTCTCACTGTGTGCTAGCCAATTCATTATTGTTGTTCAGTCAGTTCAGTGTTTTTTTATGCAAAATCTTAATTTTTCTCTTTCTCTTGCACAATTTCATTCAAATAAAAGTGAGTGCCTTTTTCAAAAAAAGATTGACTTTTAGTTTATGTCACACAAATATAAATGAAGTATTATTATTTTGATTCATCTAATTTTCCGTTGATTCTCTCTCACTAATTCGTTGTTCTTATCTTAATTTCAATGATATGATTTTTTTCCGATGTCATTTTGGAATTCAGTGTGTTTTCTCAGTTCGAGCTGTTCTCATACATATCTGGTTATAGCAACAATGTTGTTCAACGAAATAGATACGAAGGGAATAGAAATTAACAACTAGATCCAGTAAAATAGCGGTGATTCTTCGTCTTCTACTTCTCGTTTCGGTTTTATTGTTTATTCATTTATTTCCCGTGAGATTTGTATTTACAAACACCCATTCGTTTAAATGCCAAACCGTATTGAGATCGCTTAAGCACGCGAACTATGCCGCGATATACAAGAGACAAGATAGATATATAGACAGAAATTGTGTTCACACTTTACAATTAGCGGTAATATATATAATTTCGTTATAAATATTATTTTTTGGAAGTGTATGGAACCACGCAATCAATAATTCACTGAAAGTGAAATTTTCTACATCGACAAGCATTGTTGACATTTAAGTATTATATCATTTATTGACACACAAAAAAAACATTGTGCATGTGTATTGAGATGAACAAAAAAAAGAGAATGACACCATGACAATAACAGCTGCATCAATATCTCTAGCCAACATTCCGATTGGCATTTTTTTCATTTGCAAATCGAAGGGAAAAAGCAGTTCCCAAAATAAGAAATAACGTAATCACTCACTCATCGCGATTATTCCTAAATTGCTTCGTTTATGTTAAGTGCTTATTGCGATCGATTTCGTGCGCTCTCTATTCTTCGCTTTCAATTAACGTGTTTTGCGGTGTACATTTTTTTTGCGTGCTTCTCTTCTCTATTGTAATTGTGTGTGTTCATTTTTTTGCTCTTCGTTTCGAGAGTTCATTAGTTAGTTGACGCGTGTACATGTCTTGTGTATACGTGTGAAGAAGATCGTTTTTGCATACCCAAATGAAATTAGCAAATTTGCTGATTACTATTTCTTCTTTTTCATTCGAAGTAAGCAGCATTCTTGTTACGTTTTTGTTTCTACTTTGCATTGAAGATTCCATTACATTGAAGATGTTGTGAGTCGAAAAAAAAATTTCGTGATCCAACGAACGCATATACATACAGATTTGCGATTGTATTGTGTTATTTTCACTGGATTGTTTATTTTCTTTCTCTTTTGGCATTCTTCTGGCTAAATTAATGCCATTACGTAAGCAGCCACTCATTTCAATCGCTTAAAATTCTAATAAATTTCAATCGGTATAACTTGATTCTCTGACCAACCGGTTTCATATGCCATTTGTGATCATTTTTTTTTTATTTGGACAATCTTTCTACATATAAGGACAAACTCTCTGAATCGCTGGCTGACAAACATTGAATTCCAAACATCAAATATTTCACAATATGCTTCGATTGTAGATATATGCATACAGAATAAACTCTTTTTATTCACACCATCATCGTCATCATTTTTATAATATTATTATTGTTCATATCTTTGTGTATTCATTTTTTTATTGAATGTTTTTTTAACCGGTTTCGTAGGTGATTCGAAGGTGTTGTTGCTGCAACTTGTGTGTAATTCATATCTTTTGTTGTTCTCTATTCGAAACTGTGATATCTGCAAATACTAGATGAAAATAAAGCACATTCCAATTTTTATCTTGAAGTGAAATATATAAACAACGAATTCAACCGGCCCACATTTCATTTGCACTCGCTGTATATGTGAGAAAAATAAACTCAAACAAAAAAGTAGTCAAAATTGTTTCAAATAATCAATGAAAAAAAATCGAACGTACTCGGACTAAAACAGGAATATATCTGCCATATTGCACAAAAACAAGGAAACGTCTATTATTTATATAGTTTTTTTTATAGTGAACTGTTGTCTTCCAAACTTCTCACAAACAATTTAACAAAAAAAAAAACGTGAATTTTGTCCAAATAAACGAAATTTTGAAAACGAAAGAAAAAAATCGATTGATTGAGTGTACAAGTGCGTGTTAAAAAGTTTGAAGAGTGAAAAACAAAAATGGTAGCGTCAAAGAAAGATAAAAGTAAATCGGCTGCCAGTAGTACGACGTCGACGGTTGTAACTCGTCCGCCTGCTCGGACACCACATCAGGTATTTTTTCATCAATTATTAATTCTTTAAGCCTTTGCCTCTCAAGTAATTTGAGTACAAGTGAAAAACGAAACGAAAACAAATCGTTTTTGTAAGCGGAAAAAAGAGTCGATAAATTTTCAATAAGAAATATGTATTTTTTCGACATGTATTTTCAAATCTGTTAATTTTTCTTTGCATTTTTACTAAATACAGGCAACAACAACGAAAACATCGTCGTCGTCTTCGTCATCAACATCAAAAAATGTGAAAACAACATCGTCATCGAGCACAACAAAATCGACCAGTGAAAAGTCGACGGTTAGTCAATTGGGCGGACAAGATTCGAGCGTTATTATATCCGAGGTACATTCGAATATCGGTATTGATGATGGCACATTGCGTGGTATGCAGACACAATATGTGGTCACGCAACCGGAAAATGTGCAACAGCCGCACAAACCAAAAGAACATTATATATTCGGTGGCACAAAAATTGTTGAAGTCGGCACTACAATGGGCGGTGGCGGTGAACAGATTGCCCGTGAGAAAAATCAAAGCACATGGAATGGAAAATTTGTATATGAAAGTGCCACACCACAGCGTACCGTATTTAAATCATGGACAAAACAATCAACATCTACTGATCCGAGTTCATCGACGGTTACAACAACCACCACAAAAGAGGAGGTTGTTAAAACTGGTGGAGGTGAAACGGCATTGAAAACGGATTCATCGAAATTGGTGCACAGCGACACAATGAAACGGAAGGCGGACACAAAGCTAACCGCGGATTCAAAAACTGGCATTGATGCCACTGACAATGCAAACGCCACGGATTTATTGCTTGAATCAGAGCGATGCATTGCTAAGAAAGCGTATGTATGTACAAAAGATGAAGAGAAATCGTCCACATCAAATATTGAAAGTCAAATTCTATCGAACACTTCACTGTTTGACAGTTCCACATCAAATACTAAGAACAAAACGACCACGGACACCACAAAAACAAACGAACGGTATCCGATAACAACAGTGCCATCATCACCATCACGAAACGTTCAAGATTCAAATGTAACATCGAGCTCATTGGTGCAGGAAAACGATGCATCCAATCGTTATTCGACCGAACAATATTCGCAAAGTTTTTCAACATCGTCGCGCACCGAACGGGACAGTTCATCGAATCAAGTGATTGAAATTGTAGATGGGAAAGAGCGTGTTGTGTCGGATACATACAATGAAAAAGGTTCAATGCAATTGAAAAGCTCACAAGAGAATTATAAAGCAAAATCTGGTACCGGTGTCACAACGGAAGTGGAATACGATCAAAAAAATGCCGAAGAGAATATTAAATTTGCAAGTGATAAACGTGACAAAGAGCCAATATTCGATCGTGATTATCATGATTCACATCGTAATATCAAACAAAGCGGTGACAATGCACCGATTGAATATTTAAAAGGTAGCTATGAAACAACACGGTTCGATGATAAAACAAAGAAATATGTCACCGATGTACGTCATCATGAGAACAATCGACAATTGGACCATTCGCAAAATGTGACCGATTCGATTCAATCGAAATATGACGTTGAAACGTCACACCTAAATGTTGACAATTTGCACGGAAAAAATAAACAATTAAAGCATAAAACTGATGTTAAATCGATGCTATATGACACAAATGATCATTTGAATACAACAACAAACCGCACTGACAACATTTCATCATCATCAACAACAAATGATTTCATTCGTACGGCAACGAGTGATTCAATCGATTCAAAATCCACGACCTACACTTCAAAAGTGTTTGACAATAAAACAAACACATGGAAAGTCGTAGACGAATCCAATATCAATGAAATGAATAAGCGTTCAACCACGCATAAACCAACAACAAGCGATGACCATGATCACCATCGTCGATCACCGACCAAGTACACTGATTCAACGTACACAAGTGAAACGAACAAATTTAACATCGATAAAAATGCAACCACCACCAATACATCGAAAGACACAAAAATTATCGATCGCAAAAGTGTTAATGACAAACATAAAACGGTTGATAAAATTTCACGTACCACCGACACCAAATCTATGACAAAAACAATCGACGAAAAGGTGTCATCGCATTTGTATGACGAGAAAACGAAAACATGGCGTGAAGTTGATGAGAAAACAATTAAATCAAAACGTCCATCGCTGATACGATATGTAAGCAAAGATAATGATGGTAAATTTACCACAATTTATAAACGAAAATTGTTCGATAAGCGATCGGGTACTTGGAAGGTGGTCGATGAGAAAATCTATCGAAATAACAATTTCAACGAGCACATTCCAGAAGTGATTGAAGATGTTACAAATGTCACAACCACAACGTACACAACCAAAGTGTACGATACCAAAACAAATACGTGGCGCGTTGTTGACGAACAAACTTTTACCGATCGCAATACAACCGTACCGAAAGATATTGCCGATGAAATTGCTCGTGATCAACCGGACATCGCTAATATTACAACAACAACTGAACTAACCAAGGTAAGTCAAAGAGAGAGAGAGAGAGAGAGAGAGAGAGAGAGAGAGAGAGAGAAATGCACCACTCTCCATTTTTTTTTTAGCTTTTTCGATCGTTTTATTATTTAGATTAATCTTAATGCATCACATTATCTCAACACAAAGAAGAGAAGAAAAAAACTAAGCACTTTGCGGCGCGATTCCTTCTGAATCGAGACACTTGCTTACGTAATCGAAGTTGTTTATTATAATTTTGCGGCTTTAATGCGATTATATTGAACGTAGCAGGAAGCTAATAATCATGATCATCAAAAGCAACGACTCAAATACACACACGAGAAAAATGAAACGAAAACACTGAAAAGAAGAAGGTGAAAAAAACCTTCGCCAATTTAATAAAACGTTAAAGTTGTTGTTGGCGCTGCTACTGCTGCTCTATTCAACATGATGAATGCATTCAAATTACGTGCACAATGTCGAATGTGTTAAAATGAATAGGAATAGGCGATAGACACGCGAAAGAAGAAAGACACAAACAATAATAGAGAGATGTTAGAATTGCAAACGATTTTGAACAAAAAAGCTCATTTAAATTTTAACTCCAAAACATTCAAAATTAAAACGAATGAATCCACAAAGTGTTTTATACAACTACTCTCTTGGCATCTTTTTTGTGTGCCATTGTAAATGTGATCTTATGTCAATCAAAAATTAAGCAAGAGAACGCCATTCAATCAACAAAGAAAATAAGTCAGTGTTTGTGGCGCTGTTGATTCTGTCTTTTTTTCTGAATTCATTTTTAAATAAAATTATTTCACTGAATCGCAATGACTTTTGTTTGCTATTGAAATCAATATCAACCTTGGTAGAATCTAATGTAGGTAACGAAAAAACAGCTACAAAAATTCAGTAGAATTATTTACATGGCTAACGAATAAAAAATGTGTGAATATGCGCTGTGTGTATGTGTGTGTGTAATAATCATCGATCTTATCCAGACAATTGTTTTATAGACCGAAAATATGACACACAGCATACAATACCTTTCATAAACAACATATACATCGAAACTATACTGCAAACGATGTGAAAATGAATGCGAGACAGAAAAATACACGTATTATAATGAAAATTGTTCTATTAAGCGAAAAGAGAGAAGAAAAAAACATGACTGAATTTGGTTGAAAATGCAAGTTTATACTTTCTGAAGCAACAGAAACCGAGCATCGCGGTAAATGATCATTGTCTTGCTTAATTCGTTTGACATTGGCACAATGGCAGGTTATTTAATAACAACACACAAAAAAGTAGCTGGGCCAGCGTTTATTTTGCGTATGTTACACATATACATGTGTACATAGATAAATGTTGGACGTCTCCAGCGACGGTGCGGACTAATTTTGTTCAAAAAATTCGTTGGTCTTCTTTTTTTTCTTTGTATTTTGTTATTTTTCTTCCTGCGTATATGTATATACATTTGTATTTAGCATTGTCCCATTGGAATATACTTGTTGCGTCGTACATTTGGCGATTAACAATTCTTCGATTCGATTTTTTGCAACTCGAAAGTTAAAAACAAAGTAATTTTAAACGATCCGAGGACATGGGGCCAACTTTGGCCCATATAATTGTTATATAATGTTGTGTCTGAGGTCAAGTGTAAATTTGAAGAGAAAAAAACGCCAACTCATCCGGCCGATTGTTTTCATCATTACACATTTATTTTTTTGAAGTATTTTACATGACTTTTGAATTTTGCTACTTTGGCTAATGCAAGCGTTTTTTTTTTTCTCTCTTCAACTTGATTTCAATTTAATGTTTTTAGATATTTGACGCTAGCACAAATACATGGAAAATAGTTAATGAACGCTCTCATACGGATTTCGTGGAGAAAATTGTTGAAACACCACGCGAAACTATCATCATCGATGACATCACCGACATCACGAAAATAAAAAGCATCAACGATCGCACCGAACGAACGACCGACATCACCGATATCACTGACATCAATCGCATCAAAAATACCATCAATTTGCATGAAACTGAAGAGAACATCTTGCGAGAGGTGACCAAGGAAAATGTTGTGGTAAGAAAAATTCGACAGGCCTTTTTTTGAATTTTTACTAACCAAGATCATCATTGCTCATTAAAAAAAACCGGAGAACGGGTTTCCCAAGTAGTTTTATTAAGATACATCACTTTTAATCCAAATGGAATCAAAATCCCTTTTTCAATTTTTTACAATCGACATTTGTCATTACTTCCTTTGGATTTTTGCCATTACTCCCTCCAAAATCATTGGCGTTATAATTTGTAACTTCAACTAAAGACCATTCTGTTAAAGCAAACAATGTATACTTTTTCAATCGGAATTCATTTGATTTTATTATTTATCCGGGTCATTTTATCTTTGGTCATATAAAAGCTGTAAAAACTAGAAAAAAATAGAAAGTACAGAAACGACTTCGAAAAATAGAATTTTTTTATCAATGAGTGGAATTTGCGCTTCGATGATTAGTTTCGAGTGCATACTGGAAATACATACAATAAATTCGTCATCAGTTTCTTAATTGTTTTCATATTTTGTTGTTGTTTCCGTCGTTTTAGTTTAAATTGCAATAAATATTCGCTCACGTTTTCAACCTACGACGCGCAAACGAAACGAACGAATTTCAAAGCGAAAGCAAATCACTCGGCAATATGTATATAGTCACAACACACAAATTGCCAATTTCGTACACAATTACGAGCAAAGTGCTTGTTGCTGCCAGTTGTCGTTGTCTTCACCTCTATTTCCGTGCGCTTCGCGGCTATTGTCGCTTCGTGCCCAAGTGTGTGTTGGAGACGGCTACAACAATGTATACCAATCGAACCGGCTTGAATGTTTATGAAACGATTTGAAATTTTGCATTTGCTCTGGATATTTGTTTTTCCCATATCTATCGATCACATATGCACATATGGTTTTAATGTGTTTCGACTTACTTATTCTTCATAATGGCTATTATTTTTTTAACTGTTTTTTTTTTATTTTCATAATTTAACATTTCCACATTTGTATTGCATACACATAGAACGATACGCTAGATGTGGTTGATCGGTCAGTCGATAGACGGGATGACATCATCACAACGACCAAACTAATCAAAGACGGTCCACGTAAGCAACCGACAAGTGACGAGAAAAAGCCGAAACCGAAACCAACTGCCGCTGAAAATGAACAATGTATTTGCGAAATATGCACTTGCGGGTAAGTACTATATATCAATGAATAAACAATCAATTTTCATTTAAAAGCGCAACAAATGGCATGGCAGAGACAACGTTTAAGCAAGAAATGGTGATTTTATGCGTTTGAATTGTAAATGACACCATCGCGATTGTGTGATGGAGAGCGTCGTTCTCTGACAAAATGTATGCCACATACAGCAGCTAATTAAATGTTATTTGCTTGTTCTGGCTGTTCTTTATATTAAATTTCGATGTATATTGTGATTTTTTCTTTTCATCCAAAAGAAGTTCATTTTTATTAAAGCGACGTTTGTTTTTTTCTCGATAATCGACCTTCCTATATTTGAGTTAATTATTCCATTCACTCAATTTAATTTTACTTCATGAATGAACAGATGTTTAATATTTGCTGATTGATATTGATTTATTTGCGGTATTTGAACCAAAAACTGACCTTTTATGTGCAAAGCTATCGAACTTTGTTATATGTCAACGACAATTGCGTTCGATTCAAGCGATTGTGGATAATGGACATTGTCATTGTGTCCTATAATTCTATATATATTTGTTATTCGTGTCATCCCAATAAACCATTTGATCCATCCTGTAATGCAGTTTGTATACATAATGTGTACAAAATTTGTACATGTATACATAATGTGCTACAAATGGCATTACAGAATGGATCAAATGGTTTATTGGGATGTAGAGAACCGTTACATTTCACATGCTCACTTATTTATCCAGTTTGATTTCGTGCATTTTTCAATAGTGCTGCCATATAATTGAAATTGATTTTCGGTATTTTTCGTTTGTCTTCATTTTTCGATTGACAATTTTTATTCGATTGCGCATAGACGGCATCGTTGCACTCATGGTACCACAACTGATAGCACATTCATCGATGAAAAGAGTACGATTGAAACGACAACCGCTTATCGCAAAGATTTCATTGATAATCAAGTAACGAGCTTTGATATGGTACGAACACCAATGAAGAAACCTGTCGATCATCTCAAACCAGAAGGAGACATCGAATTCACCGACAAGAAGCCATACAAGCCAGCTGAAAAAGTGGTTGCAACAAAACCACAAGATACTCTGTATTTATCTGGTGAATTCAATGGTATGCATTTGATTTATTGACATTTATTTAGAACAAAATAAAATCAACAAACAAACAAATTGCACCAATAAAATGTTGTACTTTTTTTAAATTGCATATTCAATTAATAGACATCACTACATCAAAAACGGATTTCACTGGCGAACAAATCGTTGAACGCGCTTCACCAATACGTCGAAACACATGGACTAAATTGGAAGGTGATTTGATAACGACAACGACATCACAAACGGAATTCATTGATCACAAAGATACATTCGAACGAACGAACATTACACAAAAGAAAACCGATAATCTATTTTTGGACGGAGTTACCGATTTCAAGACAACAAGCCAAACCGATTTCATTGATCAGGAAATTGTTTATCAACGGCCACGTAAACGCACATTTACCAAAGATGATTATGAAAAATTCCATCATCAAACTGACGACACCACATTTGTACGGACTAGTGAAACGATCTATCAACCAGGCGAACGTCCGCAAGCTGTCAAACCACAAGATAATTTACGAACCAACGAAGGTGATTTTGTGCGCCCCGAAAAGTCAAAGTATGTTCCAGCCGAACGTCCACAACAAGTGCGTCCAGAAGACAATCTTCGTCAAGACGGACCATTCTACACTCCGGAGAAAACAGAATTCAGACCAGCTGAGCGACCAAAAGCAGTTAAACCACAGGATAATTTACGCACAGATGAAGGTGATTTTGTGCGGCCCGAAAAAACGAAATTCATTCC